AGACTTCGTCGCGTAGTCAGAGTTGTCACAAGCCGGGATATTGATAATAATCTGGAGAAACGCACGTTGAAGCTAATATGAGTTGGTTTTGTGTGCATTATAAGTTGGTTTTATGTACATGAAGTAGACTCAATCTTGCTTATATTCAACAGCTGCCTAAGCAGTGTACCTTATGTACATGAAGTAGACTCAATCTTGCTTATATTCAACAGCTGCCTAAGCAGTGTACCGTGCATGTTAGCTACTGTGACTTTTACCGTTTTTCGTTCGTTTTTATTGCACATTCAAACTTTTCATCGAGAGCCTTTGTTTACTGCCAGCGTGGGGTTTGGCATTGAGGGCTGACATTCCTTTGGATAAACATGGGCCTATAATCGTTTAATGTCTCTGTTCAAATGCTCTTCTTGATTGACGTAAATTAGAGTTTTCTGTTGTTTAAATCGAGATAAGAAAAGTAAAAAAAGTATCGTGAATTCCCAATATATAGCAGCGACACGATCGGAGTCTTGCTCCCGGAGCAAGAGCGTGTTTACGCCTGACCTGTCGACAACCCGCTATTCAATAGTCTAACTTCTCGCACAAATTTTCCCTTTTCGAAGAAAAAGAAAACAGACACGACGGCCTCGAGTAGCATGCGTCGTGGCCGTTGTTCAGTGGCACTTCAATTGCAACCCCAGCTTTACAGCGGTAACGGGGTGGGCAGATTTGTAAGGTTCTTTTACATTCGCCTTTATGGAGTCAGTTGCCGTTGTAAATACAGACGTTAATTACAGTGATCATTGGGTCAACCGTGACTTCGGGCGTGCTTTGCTCTGCGTAACGGGTTTGTATCCATTTAAATATTGGTATTGAATTGGAATTTATTGTGAATTTCTGACGGTTGGAGTAATTTTCTTATGATAGCTCGGTGTTCGTCGTTATGCCTTTAACGAATTTTTAATAATTCATCGATCTCTGATTAGTAACGCAGGCTAACCTGTCGTGAAAAATGAACATTCTTCGAAATTTCGGCTGATTTTGGTACATTATTGAAGAATAATTATAGAAATATGAAATCTTTCCTCTATATAGCTCGCACAATTTCCCATCAATCCTCGTTAATTTAATATCTATTATAATGGCATAAACAGTTGCAAGTAACTCTCAGCATGGTCATCTCGCCAGAGATTTCACAAGTATTCATTCACATCATTCCTGGGTATTATGATTACAAATTTTTCTTCACAAATTCACGAATAATTGGTGAAGGGCGTCAATTTTTATTTTTAAGACTTGGTCAAGTGCACAAATCTTTGTTACTATTTTTAATGATTGGTGAATTTTTCTCAAAATCAAATTTTTACCTACAAATTTTAACGTGCGGTATTGGTGCGAACAAAGAAATTTTTGTGTAATAAAACGCCATGCGTCTTGCAAATATAAGCGATGAGAACAATATAATAAGCACACATTATTAGCAAGATTGATCTGATTATTCATGTCCTGCGCGTTACTGTATGGCTTGTGGCAAGTGACGCCATGAGTAACATGTCGTTGCTCGCCGCCATGTAGGCCATGGACGCCATGAGCAACATGTCACTGCTCGCCGCCATGTAGGCCATGGACGCCATGAGCAACATGTCGCTGCTCGTCGCCATGTAGGCCATGGACGCCCTGAGCAACATGCCGCTGGTCGCTGCCATGTAGGCCATGGACGCCATGTCGCAGCAACATGTCGCTATCATGCGCTGCGAGATGTCTTCTGGTTCAGGCATCAGCGTCCACTAGCTTTCGACCAGTGCGTTGCCTTCTCAGATTACTAACGCATTGACCCACGCCCACACTCTGTGCATAGCTGGGCTGCACTCTCTCAATTATGTGCAACACAAGTGAAGTACTGAATGCAAATCAAATGCTATGTTGAATGCATTTCACATTTTTCACCACCGCTGTGGCTGGTTTTAAAGAATTTTCGAGGCGAAGGCGAGCATTAATTTTCTCAGAAAATAATTAATTGTATGAAATTAGGCGCTTGATGACGAGGATATTTGGAATATTAATTCGACTATTATGGAAGATGGAAGTCGTAATTAGGCCTTTATTCCGGTCCGCTAATGACATTCTCGCGAGCGCCGCTTCTTTAGGGGTGGAATCGAGCGCCAATTGTGCTGAGACGCTGGCGTTGGAGAATCTTCGTTATACCTGGAACAGCCGCTGCCACTTCCTTCCCATTGGTCTTTTACAACACTTCTCTTTAACATCACTTCTTGATGTTTGTTTGTTTGCTTGTCTGCTACAAATCTTATAATCGATATTAAACACACTTCTACCTCTCCAATCGATCTGAAATTTTGCACACGCGTAAAGTTGGAGACAATGCATGAATCAATTGAAAGAATAAATAATTTTAAAAATTAATTTTTATGATATTAAAAAAATTTGAAAAAATAATTTTGTGTGCTACAAATCTTATCGATGTTTAACACTTTTACCTCTCCAATCGATCTGGACTTTTGCACACTTGCGTAAAGTTGGAGACAATGCATGAATCAATTTACAGAATAAATAATTTTAGAAATTTGAATTTATTGTATTTGAAAATAAAATTAGAAATTCATTGTACATTTGGAACATCGGAGACACTGGATTCTTGGGAAGTGTTGTCTTTAAAAAGTAATTTTTAAACGCATATTATTATTCTGTTGATGCGCAATATTTGCTTACATTTTTTGTTTTCGTAGTTTCATGCGTATTTTTATTCAGGTTGCCTAAAATCGGCCAAATCCGAGAACAAAAAAGGTAAAAAAGGCCGATAACTCAATATATACTAGTTTATTTGTAGGTTCCGCTATAAAAATTCCATTTATTTTCTTTTTGCAGTATTTAAAATTTAATTAGGAAGTACCTCTATCATAAATTTTAGCTGGCCAACGCAATTGAGAAAAACTAAATCACGGAATTTGTCCGGAAAAAATGACCGTCTGGCAACCCTGTTTAAAAAAGTACAAAAAATGAAATAATAGTACAAGATGAAGCAGTCGTAGTCAACGTGTTAAAGACAACAATTCTAAAGAATCCAGTTTCTCCGATGTTACATATGTACAATGAATTTCTAATTTTATTTTCATATATTAAAAAATTCATTATAATTTTTTTAATATATAAACAATTACATTTTCTAAATTATTTATTCTTTCAATTGATTCGTGCATTGTCTCCGACTTTATGCAAGTGTGTAAAATTTCAGATCGATTGGACAGGTAGAAGTGTGTCAAATGTCGATTATTAGATTTGTAGCAGAAAAACAAACAAACAGCAGTTAAGAAGTGAAGTTTAAGAGAAGTGTTGTAAAAACACATCACTTTATTACTTGGAAACACTTCAGTGCATCATTTTACACGCATATTATGTTACGTGTTACTTAAACACATGTTTGATGCACACACTCATTTACACACACGAAGCAGGCAAAGCTCGTTAACGCCTTCGATGTGATCGTGCATTTTTATGAGAATGGGGAAGCAGCGCTCAAAACTGGTCACAAATCTCGCGTATCCTGCACACTAACTCGAGATGCTATCACGCACGGCATCAGGCGTGTCAACTCCTTGATGGTCTACCGCCTCAGCCAGCACGCCATCCGATGCTTTACTGCCCCAAAATTTATTGTTCAAGTAATAATCATTTGCATTTTTACTTGCCGTAGCAATGCAAGGATGCATTGCTATGAACATTCATTGAGCAGAGCGTTGCGATTCGTCACTGCGCGTTCACGCAACACGTCGAGAAAATGTCATCAGCTTTTATTGTGTAGTGCGCCGCGCAAAGCGATTGTCGCAGCGTGGATGCCGCTACTGTGTTTTGCTTTCCTGATTTGGTTTGAAAGACTTCAGCCGCCGTACATTTTTTTACAATTCGCACCCAGTGCTTTTAAGATCAGCGTGTATTTTTTCTCGATTTTGGTATTTTTTTAACTGTATTTTATGACTTGGTATTGAAAAATTTTCCTACACCTAGCAAAAATGTAGTATTCCGCGCGTTCACTGATGTTAATGTGTTTTCACGGTCGTCCTTCGAGAGGAACAGTTTGACACATGAAGCACGTTGGAAGCGTCCTACCCTTACCGCTCGAAGAATCCTTAGTATCCTTAACAAGTGTTTCGGACGTAGCAGTGCCAGGCCGCGCTGGAGCACCGACTCTGTATTCGGTCGCTCATATAGCCCGTGTTGGTAAGTCGTCACTTGCTTCTGCCATCCAATCCTTTCAACGGCACATCCAGACAAATATATGGGCCTTGTTGTCCAACTTGTGACACACTTCCTTATCCACAACGCGATCGGAAAAGGAACGTAGCACCGAAGGTCCCTTTTACATGGCCAAATTCAGTCGAGATGACACGCGCAAAAGCACAAAGTGCATCGCTATTTAGACAAAGCCTCTCCCATTTTTCTGAGTGCATCATCATTCGCGCGACAAATCTTACATAGTTTCTCTTCGTCGTTGCGTTGAGCCAGCACAACTCGACCGCACTCCGCTTGATTTTATTCGCGTTGCGGCTTGAAATGCCGAGTCACTTTATTCCAAGTGTTGTATGTGATCAACACTTACGCTTTTATTCACACCAAATATCTGGCGTTTTAAAACAAATTTTGCTGATAGTTGTTGTTTATTGATTATTTTTCTAGAAGGGAACGAAATAATTTGCGCACGAAATCGTAAGTGCTGTCAATTTTCTTGAAGTTTCTCCAGTTTTTCGTTCAATGATTTAATCTACTGATATTTGGATGAGCTTGGGAGCTGTATTCGAGCCGAGCTTGAACCGACGTTGCGACATGCTAATCTAATTCTAAACTAAACTAATTTGGTCTGGCTTTAAACCATATTTTTCCTTGGTTATTCTAAACTGAATGTAAATAGCTTGTCTGGAATAATTTTGATCATAATTCAATCTCATTTTCTTAGTCCCACAGCATAGTATTGAGTTTCTGGAGGCTCGGCTGAGATGTTTTATGTCTTTCAGGCAAAGCTCGAGACAAAAGCACTCAAGGCGAAGAGACCAGGCTTCTCAGAGGAGCGATATAACGAAACAAGCTACTTCATTGAGAACGGTCAGTTGTTTGTAGTGCAGCTGCTTCATTGAGAACGGTCAGTTGTTTGTAGTGCAGCTGCTTCATTGAGAACGGTCAGTTGTTTGTAGTACAGCTGCTTCATTGAGAACGGTCAGTTGTTTGTAGTACAGCTGCTTCATTGAGAACGGTCAGTTGTTTGTAGTGCAGCTGCTTCACTCGTTGACTCGGAAGCTTTTTGTACTAGTCAAGCTGTCGTCCAAGTACGAGAATTGCTAAAATTCTACGGATATTTGTCCCAGCATTTAGTTAATTTTTAAATAAACTAGTACAAAATTTTAAACATGAGATTCGGTGTGATCTTTTTCAGTGCTTCAATCCTCGAAAAATAAATAATTATTGACTTCCAATAATTTTATCTGTAGCATGCATGTTGCGCCCTCTCTATAGTGCTGCATGCTACTGCTGTTCATTCATGTTACATCTCACTGTTATAATGATTATAATCATAGCTAATATCATTCACAATATGTAATGCTCGAAGTTTTGTCGTACCAAACGTCACGATAATATCTTATTAGAATAATGATCTGTATTTTTAACCCCTTGTTATCTTAGAACGAATAGAATTTATGGGCATGCAGGGCAATAGAATAATATTACAGTTCAATAATAGTATTAATTAGTTATAATAAATTAATAACACAATAGAATTAATTTATTTAACCCCTGGTGATATTATTTCGACTAATATGTATGGGCATGCAGGGCTGCGTAAGGTCTACCCTTACTACTTCACTTTCACCACCTTCACGAAGGGGCGCTGGGTGGGGGAAAAAATACTCGACGTCTTCGCCAAGGAGTTCAGAGCGCACCCGGCCGAGGAATATGTGAGTGTGATGCGTGTGAGTGTGATGTGTGTGGTGTGTGTGAGTGTGATGTATGTGAGTGTGATATATGCGATTGTGATGTATGAGAGTGTGATGTATGCAAGTCTGATCTGTGTGAGTGTGATCTATGTTAGTTTATTGTATGTGATGTATGTAAGTGTGATGTATATGTAAGTAGTTTGTTCGAGCCCCAGCAAGTTATGATAATTCTTTTATTTTTCGTAAAATTATTAAGTCGTATGTTTCCCAGTCTGCTCCACAAACGTTCAATCTACTGATTAAAAGCAGAAAAAGTGTAGGAGTTAAGTTACACTTGCTCTTATAGTTCAGTGTCAATGTAAGAATTCTGACGCGCTTGATGCCTGCATGTGACATTTGTGTTTGCAGGAGCGATGCATCAAGAGCGGCACACTTACTGTCAACTACGAAAGAGTTGACACAGATTGCCGTCTCAAACACAACGATCTTCTTGCCAACATCGTCCATAGGTGAGACTTTCGTTTCTTACTTCTTACTTACAACAACGGCACTCGACTATGTTCAACACATTCAACAAACTCTACGTTATGTGGCAGCGTTGATAGTATTTATAAAGCTTTTTAACTGGAGGCTGTAGAAAAATATATCGGTTGATAATTATTCTTGAAGATCACCGTATTTGAATAACTGGAATTTTCCCCTGTTATTTTAACCTGTTAAATGTCGAGACCTTGAATGTGGTGAGCATCGAAGTTTGTGCCTTGAAATTCACTAGAACTTTCTGTTCAGATGAACGATGTTATTTTGTTCAGTGGGTCTTTGCATTTGGACCAGAACTTGTCCCTTGATGTTCGTAGCGAACAAATAGAAGTGGGCCTTTGGCGGCCACTAGTGGCGGCCACAATAAAGTTACCTTCTCTAATTTTTTCGTTCAGCGGAGTAAACTTGTCATTTTTGTGTTCATTTTATGATCAATCAGTTCACTTAATGTACGCCAGATCTCTGACCAATGCCCTTGTGCTCTCAATTCTAATAAGGATAACCGGGACAGTTATCCAATTTTCCAATGTATGTGATTTTGAAGTGTCGTCACAAGTAATCTATTTTAACCGTCGTGTTCACTTGAAATGCATTGTTGCATAACTCTCTATTGTTCTATAACTTTGACTTGGTGAATTCGCCAGAAGTTAGCTGTGTTGAATGTATTGTTGAATCAAACGTCTTTGATTTCTCTACTACCTCACTTGTGATGATATAGCCGACTTCCATTCAAACAACATGGGGTGGCACAAGGTGGAATCTGCCTTCTTGGACGGCATCTAATTTAAATTTGAATTTACCCTCGGTAAACGGTCTAAAGTTCTGCCTCATCTTGCTCTAACTCTAATACTTAACGTTGAAAACACAGTAACTCTAGTCTCTACAGCCATGGCTTCGTGACACAGGCATAACGGTTTACAATTTCTCTTTAAAAATTAAAATAATTCATTGCCCCACCACCTGAACAAACGGTAAGCTTGGAAGCTCCACTGGTAATCAAAACATTCCATCGCAATATTACGTTGTTAAATTGAGCCAGAATTTGAAAGTTATTTCCTCGGTCTTGTGGTTGCTCGTGTTGTCCAGACTCGTGAACCGGTACCTCTTCATTGTAAGTTTAATTCATTCATTAAATATAAACATTGAAATAATATTTTATGTGAATAATTTTACTATCACGTGGTTCACCCAACAAGCCCTTTCTCTCCAAAGGTTTATAGCCCATGTCTCTGATATGTCCCACGGTTCTATGTCCCTCCGTACGCACCTCTATTGGCCCATGTTCCCCTAAGTGACAAAAATAATGTATAATGTCCCCTACAAAATAATGTGTAATTTTTCCTACAAAATAATGTGCAATGTCCCATACAAAATAATGTGTAATTTCTCCTACAAAATAATGTGTAAAGTCCCCTACAAAATAATGTATAATGTCCCCTACGAAATAATGTGTGGTGCCTGTCTTGGTTACGTGTAGATTCAGGACGTTTATCTCAAGACGTGTCGCGTCCCCGGCTCGTGGTGAGTGTTCTTCTTTTATTTTATCTATTTCTAGTCCTATGGTGTCCCAGCACTTGAAAGTTCCCCCATGTATCCTTTGCATTATATGTCGTTGTGAGTTACGATTTATTCCAGCCTCATTATTATTGGCGGATTGACTTTCACGATGTACAAGTTGTTTCTTGAGGCAGTTCATTTACGTCCCACTCACCATGTTGGGCTGGTGTATGTTGACCCTACCCACCAAATGGGTCTTTGTATATTATTGGCCCATTTACCATGTCGGCCGCGACTAGGTACGAGAAATAGGCCCCACTTTTGATACTGGGTCGCTGTATTTTGGTTGTGCTTTTGTCGGCTGGGAAATTGAGTGATGTTACTCCCCGTCGTTACTCGACGTGACGGTTTGAGCTGATCTTACAGGCATGAGGTTCCCGTCACCGCGGCGACCATACCTCTCATATACACGGATGAGGATACTGTCGTCGTGGATAAACCTGCCTCAATACCTGTAAGTCTTAACACTCTCGACTCCCTCCATGTAACAGTTTCCCCTCTCTACTCCCTCCATGTAACACTTTCCCCTCTCGACTCCCTCCATGTAACACTTTTCCCTCTCAAGTCCCTCCATGTAACACTTTCCCCTCTCAAGTCCCTCCATGTAACAGTTTCCCTCTCTCCATGTCTGCTTTCCCTCCTCCGTTTGCTCCTTTTTCTGACTTGCTTCCACTTCTACATCCCCTAGTTTCCCTCCACTCTTTTTACTCGTTCCCACCTTCCACAGATGAACATCGGTTGTTGTTGTATTTCCCTTAACCTGACTGTCGTTATAATGTTTGCCACATTCCACATCGATGGCGCACACGCAGCTCTCGTGGCATCCTCCCTGTCCTGGAATGTCACGACGCACACATTCCAACCTATGATATCCTGAACGTATTCTCGGTCCACAAATTACAAATGTGCTCTGAATGTTGAGTGTCTTTATGCTCGATTATATTATTATTATAACCGTTCCCCATATCCTACGATGTTGCTCGCCTGTCCTGCAGCTACACCCTTGTTGTTGTATCCTCGTTATGACTTGATGGATGTATCCTATTTTCCAATAGGATTTTGTGTCCTTCCTTATGGCCAACTCTCGATGTCATACCGCCGTTGATGTACCCACCCACTAGGAAGTCTCCCATCAGGCATGTGACGTTGAAATAACGTTGATTTAACGTTGTCTTAACGAAATCAACTCCTAATCAACGTTCTTTCAAGGTTGTTAGCCTTGAAGGCTGTTGTCCTTTATGCCCTTTTTGCTCCAGCACGCTCAGGCCTTCCGTGTCTATCAATTTCTCGAAATATTTAGATTTTTATGTTTCTTTGAAACCCTTTATGCTGTTCCTGAGGAATTTTCCCGCATACCTTCCCCCACTGTTATTATTGCATTGTTATATTATTATCATTCTCTATGTCCTGTCTAACTGACATACCATTTACTGCAACTCGATGTTGTCACCTCCCATGCTCATTGCATACCGTAGAATTGCACCCCTTATTTTTAAACGGTATTTCCCGGTTATTTAGCACCTCAACCCTCCATACATGATTTATAGCATTGCTTCCCTTTGACCTCTTGATGAACATAGGCCCATGTTGTGATTTTCGATTTTATTATTTGCCAAACTCGCCTGCCTGGACGGTCGCCTGTCGCTCCATCCACCCCCACCTTGAATAGTCGCCTGTTTCCCCCCTTTTTTAATGAGGTTGCGAACCTACTCCCGTATTTTATTTATCGTATTTGTATCGTAGGTGTTTCTAGACTTTTCTACTATATTCACAAAACTAATCCTTTGATCGAAAATCTCATGACCACGGCCATTTATTCTTCAAATTATTACCGACCGTAACTCACTCGCTGCCAATACAGAGCGATGAAAAACTGGTCACGAAATGATGTTTCTTGAAGATATTGAAGTATTATTCAAATTATACCTCTTATTTATCTTGAGATGGTCATTGTTGAGTGTCTAAACTCAAATTATCGTTACTGCATTGGACTGTACGAAGACAGTCCAATGGACTGTCGGGACTGTGGTGCCTCTGCACGTTATAACTGCCTCAACGCAGTATTGGTGTCTGCACTCAGAGAAATAACCGAGACTTTGTCCAAATAACGAAGCACTTTATTCCCTTTGTGTGTATCAACCTGATCTAGTTTAGGTCGAATAATGGGCTTATTAGCGCTGAAATATTAGTGCAAATATTATTATTTGCGCTAAAGGCTAAATATTTTATTACTATTTGGACAAAATAATATGTTCATTTTTTTGAGTGCACGGCATCGCGGTGCCGTATTGCCGTGTTACTCACACCCACCCCCCTCCCCATCCCGGTGCACCCACCCAGCCCCTGTTGTGGGGTAAACCCTCCCCCCCTCCCTGGGGAGTCCTTTTGCTGGCTGCCCTGCCTCGCTACTCTCCCGCGATGATCCCAAGAAATTAATTAAATTTTACCAGCTTTAATCGTAGCCACGGAATACTTAACACTCGTACACATTTTGTTACTTATAACATAGCAAAATAAGATCTAATTTTCCCCTATGGAGACCTTGGCACTGGCCTAAGGTTAAGGTAAAAGGGAGATCTTTGCAATTGAAAACTAGCATACATTCATTCAAACTAGCATTCATTAAAATTGTCAATATTGGGACTGAGCAAGAGTGTAGTGAGACAGAGGCGGCATACCCATGGGATGTAGTTAATGGTGAGTGTGTACCGTGACTGAGACGACATGTGCGTTAATTGTTACAGACACGAGACGCCCGTACTGGCTCGTAGTATTGAGGTAATGCATTTAGATGAAGAGCTCGTCGTGCTCGACAAGCCATGTTCTCTGCCGGTGAGTTACCCTACCTCTTTCCTACCTGACAATTGAAGTTGAATTGAACTTATCAAATCAACGTTAACTATACGTTTTTTCGGCAATACTCCTCATAACCAAACCTCCTTTCCTACCAGACATTTGACGTTGAATTGAACTTATCATCAAATCAACGTTAACTATATGTTTTTTCGGCAATACTCCTCATAACCAAACCTCCTTTCCTACCAGACATTTGACGTTGAATTGAACTTATCATCAAATCAACGTTAACTAAACGTTTTTTCGTCAATTCTACGTTAATATAACGTTAGTTCAACGTCATATGCCTGTTGTGCTCCTAAGTCCTTGCATGTTGTGTAGTGGTTCCTAAAGCAGTCCACTTAAACGCATAATTTAACCTTTGCTACCCATCATCAGCACAATTATACCAAAACTCGATACGATTATAACGTCATCAAATTATACGATCTCTGAAGATCAGATGATCATTGTACCACAATAGCCATGTTACCGTTTTGAAAATCTTAGCATCATTAATATGCATTATATTTTTCGGTCATTTGTCCGAAATTTGATAATTTAACACCAAGAGGTAACTTATTTTTAGTTTGGGAACCGCTGCTCTGACGTAGACTCAAGTCGCACCCTTTATATCTGTTCCGCTCCTGTGCGTGGATTTGTCACTGCAACCTTAGCATGACTTCTTTTTCTCACGCATGCGACGCATAATTTATGTTTAAATGTTTGTTAAAAACTCGATCAATTTTCCCTTTACGTAAGTTTTAAATAGAGAATTCCTCTTATGTATAAATCTATCTGAGACATAGTAAAATATTGTGTGGTGGTGAGATTGTATTTTGTGTTGAGTGAGGTTGGTAGCTACTAATGTCATAAAAGTGACATCATCATGTTGTCATCCTTATTCTTCAAGGTTGAATGAATGTGGTGTATAGAGACTGGTGATGCGGGCAACGATAGCCAAACCTTTGTTATTGAGTATTCAGTTGAGCTCTGTTGTTTGATTTCGTTCGTCCTATGAATTTTCTTTGACCTCGCGCTGGCTTCCGTAGTGCTTACTAGTTCATGTATATTGTAATTTCCTTCACAAGTTTTAATTCGCTAATTTAGCGCTTGTTGCTTCTGGTCGTCGCAAATCTATGCGTCCAATTACTAAGTAATTATAAATTCATCATTTATAATTACCTTCACAAATCATTCATTATAAATTCAACGACGGTCATCGATGACTACTATATACGATAACTATATACGATATAAATACCAACACTTACTTAGCACATTTATTGGTGTGGCTACTCCTACAGCTTAAACTAAAAGATGAAAAATACACTGAATGTCAAAATGGATAATTATCAGTCAAGTTTGCCATCCTGAAATCAATAAAGTTGTATTTGCAATGCTGCTAAAAGTTGTGATACCTTTCGCTCGCCGTGAAAAGGTGCTTTAGCAGGGTGTCATTAATGGCTTCCAGTACAACTTTCATATACTAACCGTCACTATTTACCGTGTTATTGGCATCCTGTATAGGCGCTACTGGCCTCGACAGGATCCAGTAACTCTTTACACAAGGCCTTAATAATTAGTCGCAGTTGGTATTTGAAAGTTGTTATTGTCGCCAATATCTCCATATACAAGAACCTGTATTAATTTTTCTTAGCCGTGATCAAATTACCGGTCAGACAATAATGCATCTTGATTAATTCAGACTACACATTTTCTGACATCTTAATATATTAAAACGTCAACTACAAATTTTCTGATATCCTAATATACTAAAACGTCAACTAAAAATTTTCTGATATCGTAATATATTAATACGTCAGCTACAAATTTTCTTAACATCCTAAAATACTAATACGCCACTTCCTAATTTTTGGATATCCTAGTATATTAATATGTCAACTAAAAAATTTTTAGTTCCTAAAATACTAATACGTCGTTTGACACACTCCTTCCCGTAACACTCCTTCAACTCCAAAGCCTTAGGGCAAGCGCCTGGCACCCGGCGATTAGGAATCGATTTTGCTGGCAAGTTTGGCGGTATATCAAGCGCACTCATCCGTCTAACTCAATCCCCTCGTGCAAGCTCTCGGATAATTCACTGAGACTTTGTACAAAGAGTGATGCACTTTTGCCTTATATGGGTCATCTTGACCCATATAAGCTCTCGGATAATCCACTCCAATCCCCTCGTGCAAGCTCTCGGATAATTCACTGAGAATTCGTACAATGAAAAGAGTGATGCACTTTTGCCTTTTATGGGTCATCCTGAAGCGATTTTGATCGGTAAAAAGCGTATGAGTGCTGCGTGTAGAAAGTGTGTCATTTTATTGTATATGACCCATTAATGTTTGGTTAAAAATAATGCCAGTTTTATTGAGGACTTCTTTTGAGTTTAATCTCTCAAGCTTTCTGATAAGAGCTTTCTGATACAGTAATAGGTTCAATGTGTCTTAAAATTTGTCCAAATGAAAGGTTCGATAAATCCTGCGACGCGTTTCGCTCATCACTGAGCATCTTCAGGCAACGAGGTCGAGCAGCTGAGTAGACGAGTTGCTTGCGGGTTGGCTGCAGAGAGAAGACTAATTGAGGTAGTGAACGAAGCTACGAGTAAGG